AATATGGAGAGTTTTTGTCTCCCCCTGATCTTTCCTGGTCGTCTTTCGTTGCTTCAGTTTGCTTTCTCTTCACAGCCATTGGGAACAGTCTAATCCCCTCTTGACGTAATCAGTCTTAATTCTTTGAGCGTTTTGAGAGTGGTTTTTTTTTCATCTGAATATCATTGTAGGCCAAGTTTAAAGGATGCTGCTCTTCCCAAAGTTTAATGGTTTGAATCTCTTTCTGACTTAGGTCTTTCTAACCCACCAGCTATCACCCCATTAACCCATTGGGCCACACACAGAATGATACGTGTTGATGCTTGTTAATTACTTTATAAGCCTATAAATTACATATAATGGGGTTTGCTTATTAAGATTTTGTTGCCACTGAAATACAAGAGCAAATCCATCGTCAAATCCAAGGGACAGTCACTCCTGGCAGAGGGGGAGGAACATGCCTTTGGCACTCATTATTTCAGACTGATAGCACCCGCTGCTTCCCCTGGCCCAGCTGGATCCAGGCAAAGATGTATGGCCACGGTCTAATTCCTGCTACGGCTGGTTTTATACCAGCTTCTCTTTTTCACACTCCTTGCTACAGTATAGTTCAGCAATAAGCATTTATTCTTTCTAGGAGAAAACTTAACTGAAAAAAAAAGCTTAGCTTCTCTCTCTCTCTCTTGATTTTTACTAAATGTTATGTTTAACTCCTGAAAGTCTAAAAATCACTTTGAATTAGATCATACCATCTTGAAGGTTATTAGTCCACAAAGTGACCTAGTGCCTTAGGCTATTATGAATAGCACAGTTACATTTCTGAACCATCAAGGTGTGTGAAGCAATGACTGTCCAAGGCATCCTAATGTGTGTCTGTCACAGACACAGGCAGCAAATCTGGGGAGACACTTCAAAAAGTTCAGCTCAGTAGAGAGGAGTCTGCCCAGCAAGGAGGAGGCATGTCCCCACACTTCACAGAGCTGGACCCCACCTCTGCCGCCCCAGGACTTTAAAGAAGCCCAGCGGTTCTGATGCAACCGAAAGAGTTGCCTTGGTTCCTGCACAGCACCACAGCTTTTGTTTACAGCAAAGGTGGGGGAGATGCTGCTCAGAGGAAGAGTGGACCCCGACCCCATTAATTTTTACTTGTTTAAAGCCTGTTTATTTTTCCCAAGCAAGTTTTAACAGCAGATAGCATTCATAAAGCCTGACATTTTCAGCAAACCACAAGTGACTCTCACAGACACTATAATCAATCCCCCCATCTGAAAAAAATGGCCATCTGACAACAGACGGCAGATTGTCTTGAGCAGCTCCCTGAGCCTGCCCCTGGATACTGGGCACAACCCAAGCAGAAAGAGCTGGGAGAAGGACATCTGGTGTGACGTGATGTTGTGACACAGCGTTGTATGTCACACTCTTACCATGTCTAGAATGTGTGTCCCTGTGCTTCACCCAGCCCTGGAGGTAATCCTGGGACTCTTCTCGGGTTTAACAGGTTTTGGACTGAGTTGGAAAGGGACAATAAATCTGCTGGCTTACAGGGTGAAGCTGACTCTGTTAGACATCAGTCTGCAGACCTTCAAGTGGGGACAGGCTGGTTTTGCCTGCACAGTGCAGAGCTCTCTCTAACAGCTCGTACTCAGCTCCGGTACATCCAGATACGGTCAGGCTTGGTTGAGCATGGCAATGGCTGTCTGCCTATGATGCGAATAATGCCAGGGCTTGGATCATCCCCTAAGCCACCAGTGCCACCAGGGTTGCTTACGCTGCCGGTCCACAGAGCTTCTGCCAGCATATGCGAGCGCTGATGCTAAAAAAGGCAGGCAGTCACTTTCTCTCGACCTCAGCTGCTCATCTGTCCTTTCGCACCTCCCTTATCCAGGTCACCACGGGCCAAGCAAACGTTTGTGCTGCAGAACAAGCGCCAGGGGACAACAGGACAGCAACAGCATCTTTTTTTTTGCCAGCAGCACTGTCAACACATTGGTGCAGCTCCAACTTTGGTGTCGCCTCTTTAAGTTATGCTGAGCTGAGTGCAGGTGTGGCACCGAGTCAGGGTGAGAAGTGATGGGATGTTGGTACAGCAGCAGGGTACCGGTGCCAAGCTGTGCACACAGAGGGGGAGGACAAGTCCAGGCTTCTGAGAGTTCACCACAAGTTCCTATAAACTCCCTGTAACCAGAGGATGTAGGGCCACAGGTGCCATGCCATGGGGAAATAATGTTGACTGCGTGTATTTTTGCCACCATTGACTTTATATGGAGGATATAAAAAAAAATCCTGGGGTTTGTTTTTCAGTCACCCGTTTTTACAGAGGAAATTCCTGATTTTGTAAGAGTAAGGCAGATAAATGAGGAAGCTAAAGCAGATTACTATAGCAGAAAAGGAGATAGCTTTCACTGGAAAATCATTTTCATTCAGCTGTTTTGAAGCTGTTTCTTAGGATATATGTAGCAAAACCTCCAAAGCAAATATTTAGAAGCAAAGTTCTCTTGTTGAACGTCTGCAGACGGTGCCAAGCGAGCTCCAGGGTCACGTCTGAATCCTAAAAGACAGGCATGCAGCACCTCAGATATTTCTTAGATCAAAACAAAATAACAAGATGTTTTAATACAGTTCATAACAGAGGAAAATGTACAAGCCCATTTTCTCTTCCTCTTTTGAAGCATGCATCATAATCCTATAGAGGCATGGATTCTTCCCTCTGAGCTAACCTTCCTCCTCCAACGCTGTGTCGCCCCAAGACACTGCAGCCAGGCTGCTTCTCCATTACTGGGGGAACAGCCCCTCTCGTGTTTACCAACAACAGGCACAAGCAACAATTGCGC